TCCAGGCCTCGTCTCTGCAGGAATCAATCGCACCTGTGCTCAAGCAAGAAGCCATACAGCGTATTGTCACAGGGGGAAACCCAAACAAAGTCCAGAAATGGAAGCAGCTCCAATGTCTATGGGGGGGCAACAGCGACATACAGTGAAGACGTTCATCTCCAGGGATGCCCCGGAGCTGTCGGAGAGGAATGGGGGACATTAGGCTTCTAGGACTAACCGATTATACACACTGCCTGAGAGCTCCACCTCTGACCTGTTGACCCCCGGTGTCCAGGGCAGGGCCTGGGCTTCTAGCATCTGTCTATCTGTCTATCTGTCCATCGATTTATCCATCCATCCATAGGCCAAACTATGTATCCATCCGTCTATTTACCTATCTACTCTCCATCCACTCATCCATCCATCCATCCATCCATAGATCAATCTATGTATCCATCTGTCCTTCTATCCATCATTCTGTCTACCTATCCATCCTCTGTCATTCCTTGATAGATGACGTCATCTACCATTCCTTGACCTGCCTTCTGAGCACTATCGTAGGTACCCAAATGTTTTTAGCAAGAACCCAGTCGACTCCCTCAGGGGGTCCAGGATATGTTGTGCTGAAGATTGCCAGCGATTCTCATAGCTGCACAATTAAATACCTGAAAAGCTTTTTTTAAAGTCCTAAAGCCTTTGGCAGATCCTCAGAAAGTTCAACAGTGCGTCCACTCCTGGCTCTACACATCCAAGAGAACCAGAAACACCTCGTACCCAAATGTTCACGGCAGCTCTACTCGCAATCTCCCAAAGGTGGAAACGACCCAAGTGTCAGCGAACATGTGAGTGGAGAAACACACCGTGGTCCAGCGTAGAGTGGAATGGCGGTCGGCCCTAACAGGAGTGAAGGGCTGGCCTCAGAGATGTGATGCTCAGTGAACAAAGCCAGACACAGAAGATCACGTACTCTAAGCCTCCACTTACAGGAAACGTCCAGAACAGGCAAATCCATGGAGAATAAAAGTAGCTCAGTTGTTGGGGGGAATGTGGGGGAGCCACAGCCACTAAGTATGGGGTTTGGTTTTGGGGTGATGAGGATGTTCTGGAATCAAATAGTAGTTGTGGTTGCACACATCTGTGGAGGTACAAACGCCACCGAACTCGACACTGTTCGATGTTCAGATGCAGAGAGATGGCTGCACAGACAAGGACGTGCCCAAGCAGAGGACACAACAGAGGGGACTTTGGCCTTATGTGTGAGTGGCCACCTTACGGCTCCTGCGCTATCAGAAAATAATTGAAAAATTGGGTGCCTGGTGCTGAGGCCACATGAAGGGAGGGTTGAGGGGTGCGTGCCCCTCCCAGCTGCCCAGACCAGGTCCACTCGTGCGCCCCCCTCGGCCCGCTGCTGTCAGGAAGCACCCTCCAACCCCGGCCGGGTCAACAGAAGCCTGTGTGCAGGGAGGGTGGGGACAGGGGCCCCAGAAAGCAGCCTGGCCCCTTTAGGGCCCCCCCACGGGGCCACATTAATAGGTGACCCATTTATCTGGGGGGCCAATGCGACAGGGCTGGCCTGGGCGCGGCCCACACCCCCATCTATCAATCCACTAACACAAACAGCAGGCAGGACAGGCTGGGCTTCTCAAGGTGCGCTTGCAGATGGCTTTGAAGCCTTATCTCCCAGCCCTCCCGAGCCGGGGATGAAAGCCTGGGAGCGCCGCACCCCTGGGCCGGCCCTGTGCCTCCAGCTGTCCCAGGAAGTGGGCTGGGGGCCCAGGGAGTCCTGGCTCCGCAGCCCCTGCCCCTCGAGTGGGGAGGAGGGCCGCCTGGCCCAGAGGAGCCCTGGGCCGGGTTCTGGGGCCGCCCCGACTCCCCGCGGCCCTGGCATTTCCAGCTGAGAGCGGGTGCTGAGGAGCAGCCTCGGAGCACTGACACCCGGCCTGTCTGCCGGGGGGCGAGTAAGGCTCCGTGGCGTCGTGCGTGCCGAGGGCCCGGGGGGGTCCTGCTGCCCGGCTAGTTCTTCATGTTCCCCGGCACCCAGCATCCTAGGGCTTCAGGAAACATCGCAGCAAGGAAGCCAACCCTCACACCCCATCTTCAGGTTACAGACAAGTAAACTGAGGCTCAGAGGAAGCTCATCACAGACCCCGGGCCGGGAACCCCCAGGACCACACTTGGACACGCAGCGTGGGGAAGGAGAGTTTGTGAAAGACGGTGCAGCAGGATGGGTGGAGCCCACGGCCTCCCCTCCGCGCCCACCTCGGGGAGGACCCAGCCCCCGGACGCGACTCCCCACCTGTTTGGAGGGGCCACACCGTGTCGGGGAGCACAGGTGCTGCTCTCGGACAGATCAGGCTCCAATCCCTTGTGAGGTGATGCACCCACTCCCCAGCCTCGCTTTCTCTGCCTGTCAGATGGGGAGGGGGTGCCAAGGGGCTCCGGGCAGCATTCAGGACGGCATCCCGTCATCATCCCCGCAGGACGGCAGCAACGGGGGCCTGAGTGCAAGCAGGAGACACGCACTCGTCCTCTAGGACCCACCACTGTGCACACACTGTCCAGGGAGAGGTGGCAGGGACCCTGGGTGGTGTCCCAGGAGCAGAGGGGTGGCCGTGGCCCCCCACAGCCCCGGAGCCACACCAGAGTCCAGACGAGGCCTGAAGGAGGCAGGTGGGGCAAACAGAGACGGTGAGGCCGGTGCCCAGCAGATTGTCCTGCCCCAAGGCCAGCCCTGGCTGTGCCCGCCCAGCAGCTGGGGGAAGGGACGGGGCTGGGGCTGCTGGCTGGCCCTGTGGGTGACAGGCACTCACACTTCCTGGTCCTAAAGAGCAGTTTGGCTTTTTTAAAAATCAACTTTAGGGGGATCCCTGGGTGGCTCAGCGGTTTAGAGCCTGCCTTTGGCCCAGGGCATGATCCTGGAGACCTGGGATCGAGTCCCACATCAGGTTCCCTGGGGGGAGCCTGCTTCTCCCTCTGCCTGTGTCTCTGCCTCTCGTTCTCTGTGTCTCTCATGAGTAAATAAATAAAATCTTTTAAAATAAATAAATTGAAATTAAAATAAACTTTATTCTTACAAAACCAAACGTCCCGTTGCCGTTCAGTCCAGCAATCACGTTCCTCCGCTTTTACCCAAAGGCGTAGACGATGTCCATCCACACAAAATCCTGCCCACGACGTTTCCGGCAGCCGTAGTTGCAACGGCCAAAACTCAGAAGCACCCCAATGCCCCTCGGTGGGTGGGGATGAGCCCCCATCTACGCAGCGGGATGGTAATCAGCGCGGGCAGGAAAGGGGCTACGGGACCTGCAGAGACAAGACACAGCAGAACCCTAAGCGGAGGCCGCTGGTGATGGAGGCCACTCTGAGGCCACACCGCGTGATGTGCTGTGGAGGCAGTGGAGACACCAGCGGTGGCCCGGGTCGGGGGGGGGAGCAGGGAGGATTCAGCGGTGACAACACTCCGCATGACGTGACGCCGCAGCGGGGGCTGCACAGAACAGGCACCGCCCACCCCTGACCGGGATGCACCTGCGCAGATTCACCCCCGACGTGATTGCAGCAGCCGTGAGCTCCACGGGGCCGCGAGGTCGTGGGGCACCTGTGTCTACCTTCCAGACCCTTCTTGCACCTATTGTTCGGGCACCGACACGGGGCAGCCAGAGCCCCCGCCCGTCCGATGACCTGCTCTGTGCGTGGCTCCCGGGGCAGCAGCTCGGCTTCCACTCTGCGGACGAGGCCCTGGCTCAGAGAGGCTGGGTCGTGGGCCGAGGTGGCTGCGTTCTCCAGGGGAGAGTCGGAGTTCAAACCTGGCTGGGGCGGGGGCAGGGGGAGCAGGACACACGCTGGCCCCTTGTGAGGCTCGGCGGCGCTGGGGAAGAGGGTTTGCCCCTGCCCCATGTCTGCCCTCCCCAGGGGTCACCCTGCCCCAGCACACACGTGCAGTCACAAGGAGCAGACACAGGCCCGGTGCACCCAGCCGCACGCAAGAACTCCTCCAAACCCCCACGCGGGGGGCAACCCTTGGAGCCGCGATCACGAGCACGGACACGGGCACCTGAGGCGGGGCCCCCCCCCCACCCAATGCCTCACGGCGGGCAGCACGCGGACACCCCAAACACGGGGCTCCGACAGGCGCTGGCAGCGGGTCGGCCTTGTGCAGGCGGCGTCCCCGAGGCTCCAGGCCCAGCCGTGGCAGCCCCTGGGGACCTCCCCTGCGACAGGAAGTGCCTCCTGGGACCTCAGCAGGGACACTGGCCTGGAGCCCCGGGGCTGCTCTGAGCTCTGAGCTCTCCCTGGAGTCACGCGGGTGTCCTTGGGGGAGGCTCAGGCTCCCGCACGGCTCTGAGGGTGCAGGGCAGAGAGCTGGGGTCAGTGCGACAGGCCTGTGCTGGGTGGGGGACGAGCAAGCATGAGGGCAGGGGGCACGCAGGGCAGCATCACAGGCCAGCGCAGCTCCCCAGGCCCCCCAGTTTCTGCAGTGGCCACGCGTCCCGGCACAGAGAACAGACGTGGACCCCCGCGCCTCAGCACACGGGCACCCCCAGCCTGCCCTGACCCCCAGAGAGACCCCCGACCTGGCCCACCCGCCATCTGGGAGGGCAGGAGACGGGGCTGGGTGCGGGTTTCCCTGACCCCTCGGCTCTGGCGTTCCGCCTCCTGAGCTCTCCTGGGAACACACCTGCGCTCATCGGCCACCCGGTACAGACGGGGAAACTGAGGTCAGGGAGGTCAGCCCATGCTGAGTGGGGACGCAGGCAAGAGGGGCCCCGCAGGCCCTGCCCTACGGCGACAAGGCCTGCTGCCCCCTCCCCGCGGGCCCTGGTGTCCGGCAGGGGCCAGAGGCACAGGCCACACGGTAACTATGGGGAAACAATCCCGGGTCTGTGTGGGTTCAGCCCCGACCCGTCCTGCCACTTTCTGCGCGGAGACAGAACCCGTTGGGCAGCTTCGGGCAGTCTCTGCCTCCCTTCTGCTCCTGGCTGAGAGAACCAAGAACCTGTCAAGCGGGTTTGGCCAAAATTGTGCCTTGTTGCCCGTGCAAGTTCCCGCACTGCTCACTCCTGTCTCCCTCAGGTGGGGAGCGCTGGGCTCACGAGGTCGCAGAGGTCGCCGCACCGAGGGGCTGTGTAAGTAGCTGGGGACCCCGCGGCTGGTGGCTCCAACAACCGGGGTGGGGGGGAGGGCCTGGGGCCCCCGGGGGTGCTGGCCACGAAGGCTGAGCCCCAGTCTCCGCTCGCTGAGCAGGAGGCGGGGGTCGGCACGAGAGGCGCAGCCACCTGCCCCGGGGCACCCTGTCCAGGGGGCTGAGTGGGCGAAGGAAACTCCCGGGCGGAGGGTCGGGGCAGAGGCCGGGCGGCCTGACACCACCACACCAGGAAGTCGTCATCTGGTGAGGATCCGGGGGCACCGGGAATGGGCTGGTAGCCAGACCCTCCATCCTGGACCTGCCCACTGCCCAGACCCCCACAGAGCAGAGGGGTGCAGCCGTGGAGGTGAGGGGCATCCACGGCCCAGTCGCCCCCAGCTCAGTGCTGGGCACCGGGGGGTACTCGGCTGCCCCTCGCTCCGTGTCCCTTGAAACACGGTGACAAACAGGGACATGGGTCCTGCTCAGCCTCCCCTGACCAGGCCTCAGGGTGGAAGCCAGCGAGGGTGCAGCCCCAGAGGGCCAGCCCGTCCTCAAGGAGTCAGGTTGCAGGGCCCGCTGTTACCTGAGCCCGCCAAGCAAGCGCGCACCTGCCTTGTCCTCCGTGCATGTGTGCACGTGGGAGCCACAACCAGGTGTGCGCGTGCGCCTGCGTGTACATGTGTGTGCAGCTGTCGGTGAGCCCGTGCAGGGCTGTGTGCCTGCACAGGGGGTGGCCGAGGGTGGCACCGTGGGCACGGTGTGCGTGTGTCTGGGTGCTAGCACACGGTTAGGATACTGGTGCCTCCCTGTGTGTGTGTGGGCATCGTTCACGTATGCACGCCTATCCCTGGTCTGCGTGTCTGGCGATGTTAGAAACCACCCCAGCAGCAACGTGTCCCTGGACGTGAACTGACCTGGGAGTCGCTAGGCCCGGGCTCTGCCCCTGGCAAGCTGGCCACCGTGGAAAGGTGATGTCGCCCCGAGCCTCAGTCCTCATCTGTGCAATGGGCTTATCATAGTTACTTCATGCCGAATGGGAGACCAGTGAGTGGGTGCCTGGCACCGGGGCTCCCAGGCTGGCCCCTGACCACCAGCCGGCCGGTTGTCACCGGAGCGCCCACCAAGGGCAAGGAGTCCTGACAGCGCCGGGGGGGGCACGGACTCTTGTGCCTCCAGGAGCCCGGCTCAGGGTCCACCCCCACCGTCTGCTTCAGGGACAGGGACACTGAGGCACAGCCAGACAAGCGATGTGGCCACAGCTGCTATGGACGCGTTGCCGTCACCACAGAGGCCCCTCGGGAGTGGAGAGACTCGAGCGCCTTGTCCACTTTGAGGCTGGCTCAGTCCCGAATCTGTAGAATGGGCCAGTCGGCTCCCGCAGGAGGCCGAGGCGCCAAGCCTGGCTGCAGCAGGTGCTCCGTAAGGCTCGCACCGAGGACCCTGGAGGGTGTTCGACTGTGCGCCTGACCCCCTGCGGGCCGGACAGGAGGCAGGGAGGGCGCAGTGACGGTCACTTGGGAAAGGGTGGGTTGAGGTACAGACGGCCCGTGGGCAATCTCTCTGCGCTCAGCTCCCTCAGAGAAGCCTGGGGGCCATGGCAGCGCCCCTGCGGTGCATGGAGCCTGGCACAGCGCCTGGCACAGAGGGGACCCTCGGGAGCAGCCGCCACCGCTATCTTTACTGCTCTGTCGTTGTTGTTCCACGGGTGGGTGGAGAGAGACAGGAATGACTGCAGGGAAGGAGCGGGGTAGGGACCTGCACACCCAAGGGGTACAGGGGAGGCCAGGGGGTGAGGAGCCCCGCTCCCACGCCACAGCCTCAGACCCTGAAGGAGCCCGGGGCCGGGCTGGCCCAGGAGCAAGGCAGGAACCCGCACCGCTGTGGGCATTGCCCCGTAGTGCCCGGTGCAGGCCTTCTGTGCATGGGGCCCGGTGGCCCCGCCCCTGGACACAGGCACCAAGACTCAGTGGACCCAGAGTGTCCCTGCGATGCAAGTGTGTGCCTGTTGGAGCCCGAGACCTTGCCCTCAAACTCGGGGGCGGAGGGTCCTTCCTTGTGCAAAGGATCTTTGTAGCCCCGGTCCCTGTACTTGGCCAGGACAGGAGGCGCCCCTGTGAGCAGCACTGTTAGCCCCCGGGCCGCGGGGGAGGGGGTGCGCATGGAGGGACCGCGGCCAGTGGACACGGGGGCCTCCATCTGCACTTGGCTGAGCACCCGGCCTGCCAGGTTCTTGGCTGAGTACCTGTCACCTGGGCACGCATTGCCCGGACACCCATCACCTGGAACGTGTCACCTGCACAGGTGTCACCTGGACACGCATCACTTGATAGAAAGGAGCCTTAAAACAACCTGCCATGGGGCGGGGTCCCATTACCCCCCAGTGAGAAACTGAGGCCCTGAGAGGTGAAGCGATGTGCCCAGGTCACACGGGGGTTAAAGGCAGGACGGGGACCGACGCCAGGGCTGCCGGCTTGGACACCCCCAGCTTTAGCCCTCTGCCCAGTGTAGGCGGCAGGTGCGCAGGGCCATCGTGTGGCTGACCCACCCGCCCTTCCTCCCACCTGCTCCTTCCGGGGGCTCAGCCCCAGCAGAGACCTTCCAATCTGGGCATCCAGAGGGGAGGAGGCGGGTACCCCTGGGCCCATCTGAGGCCCTAAGGAGCAGAGCTCAGGCGTCTCACCCCAGCGGCCACCCAGACACCCCCTCCTGTGCACAGGCTGCACAGGCCCAGCGATAGCAGCCCAGCTCCTCACCCCTGCGGGCTTCTCCCTGACCCAAGCCCCATAGCAACACCCCCAGACCCAGCAGACCTTGGCTTCTGGCCCCTGGGGCCCCACAGCTGCTGTCAGCACTCCTAGCAGACGCGGAGCAGCCTGCTGGGGAGGCCCGGCCCGCAGAGCCCTGGCACCACAACCTCCTTCTACCCACAGCTTCTTCCCAAAACCACGGGAGGCTGCGGACTTCACCCCCTCCCCCGCCCCCCGACTGCCACCTCCCTCCACCTCCTGCCCCTTCCTTGGACCCTCCTCACATTCCCGGAGAGTGGAGGCCCCGATGGGGTGCTGCCCCGGAAGACAAACTCTGTCTACTTGGCCAAAGTGTTCATGTCACCTGCCCACCTGGGGAGGTCACACATCCCCATGGCACCATGACCCGTGGGCTGGTTGGCCCTGGGCCTCCCAGGAGATGAGAGGAGAGGCTGTCAGCATGATGCACCCCTTCTGGCTCTGCTTCCAGCCACCAGCACACCCTGCCCTCTGTCCCTGTTCCCCCCTGCCCGGCGTGCAGGAGAGTGTCTCCTCGTGTCCTTCAGAAACCCTGAGAGTGGCAGCCAGGTGCGGCCTGCGGGGGTTGGGGGCCAGAAGGAGCCTGGGGGCAGGCCGGCCTAGCACCAGACCCGCATGGGCCTCTCCCAGACCTACAGGCACCGTCGGCTCCCTAGGGCGGCTCCTGTCCGGGCAGGGGGAGAGCTGCCTGTCTGGCGGGTCTGGGTGGAATTTCCAGCGCTGCAGCTCAGCCCCTGCGCGGCCCTCCTCGCCCCGCCTGCCCCAGCCTGAACCTACAGAGGCCGCTGCTCACTGCCTGAGCTCCAGGGGCCCGCTGCGAGATAAAAATCTCTGTGGCCAGCGCTGCGGGGCCCTGGGGAGCTAGTCCCTGGTCCGCGGGGCAGGGGCACGGCATCCACAGAGCCCAGAGTGAGGTCAAGCCCCAGCTCCCACTTCCCACTGGGTGGCTGGGGAACATGACCCTGCCTCTTTGGGCCTCGGTTCCCCCATTTGGAGAGGGGGCTCCTCACAGCCTGGCGGGGCTCAGACAGGCCGTAAAGGAAGCTTGGGAATGCGGCGGGGACTATCACTTACACTAGCTCGAACCCCGGTCTCCCAACCCCAAGGTCTGGTCTCCCAACCTGCAAGGATGTCCCTCGTCGGGTAAGTGGCGGCTCCCAGCCTCGGGGCGAAGGACCCTCCTGAGTCCTCACCACTCGGCACACAGCCACCCAGCAGCCACCCCCATGCCCCTGGCCATCACTTGGGAGTGGCCCGGAGCCCAGGCAGGTCCTCAGAACGAGTTAAGGAGCCCCACCTTCCCACCACACCCCAGCCGGCCCCGCTCAGCTGGCTCCCACGGCCCCCGCAGGACACGGACCTCACTCCGTCCTCCGGCCGAGGCTTCCGGTGCTCTGACGCTTAACTTCAGGTCCACAGAGCCCGCTGAGAGCCAGACCCCACGGTCCACTTTCCCCAGGCTGGCCCCGACCCGTCGCTTCTCCCGGGGCCTCAGGGTCTACTCTCTGCAGTCGGGGGGCACCCCCAGCCCGAGGCCCGCTCCCCCAGGCCACCACCCCAGCTCCCGAGAACCCAGAGCATCAGGCCTTTTCTGTGCCACGTGTGCCTGAACCCCAGGTCCAGCCGGCTTCCAGGTGTGGCTCCCGTGGCGCGGTATCGCAGCGTGCTGGCACCCGGGAGTGGGGAGCGGTCCCTCCTCCCGGCAGAGGCCATCAGCAGGGGTGCGCAGGGGTTCCCCGTTCGGGGCTGTTCCTCAGGGTGCTGCTGCAAACACTCGGTCGTGCACGTGTCTTCTGTGCAAACTGAAATTCAACTGAGACGGGGTTCCCTTGAGCAGCCGCAGCGAGGAGCCGGGCCAGCCTGGAGGGATGGGGCCACGGGCTGCTCTGAGCAGACGCCGTCAGGGGCCTGCACTCTGCTGGGTGGAGAGTGTGTCCTCGTGAAGGGGTGGCCTGGGCTCCGGCGGGCGTGGCCAGGGAGCGGAAGGTGAGGCCTGGGTGGATGTGGGAGGCCAGCCAATGGGTGCTGCTGACAGGTCAGTGCGGGATGCCAGCAGAGGGGCCAGGAGGGCCAGGCGCTCAGCCGCCTGGTGGCAGGGCCCAGCAGACCCCAGGGCTCCTTGGGCAGAGGACCAGAAGGGCCACCTCCCCCGGCCTGGTGGTGACATGCATACAGGAAGAGGGGAGGCTCTGGCCCCAGGGGGGCCAGGCCGGCCCCCCTCTGTCCCCTGGGAGACTGGGAGCCTGGGCCCCTCCTCCGCACGGTGCGCCACAGGGCCAGCAGAGCCCCAGCCCTGCGGTGGGGATGGAGGAGTTGCTGAACGCAGCCCAGTGTCCACCTGAACAGCCACAGTTATGCAGACCCGAGGGGAACGCGGGAGAAGGGGCGCTGGGACCTCAGCCCCCCTAATACACGCACCACACAGAGCACGCGGGTCCACACACACATGTCCACACTCAGACCACACACGGCGGGACACGGGCCCCCGGCGCACCGCCCGGCCCGCACGGCGCGCAGCCTGAGTGAACGGCAGCTCGGCGCAGAGGCCTGGGCGTGGTGGCCTGCGCCCGCCCCAGCGACTGGCAGTGCCCCCTCCTCTCGCGGGAGCTGGAAGACTTTCCCAGAAGGGCTCTGCATGTTGCAACCAGCTCAGGTTAACAGAGCATGTCATGGGTGCCCAGACCCGGGGCCCAGCCTCCCAGGCCTGGGGCCATTCTGTGGCCACAGGGCCAGTGGCAGGGGAGGGGGGCGGGGCAGGGGGGACCCACAGCCCCTTGAGCTCACTCCTCCCAATGGCCTGCCTGCCAGAGACCCCTCCAGGCTGGCAGGGTCTCAGAAAGACCTGGAAGGCGGTGAGGGCAAGGGTGCCCAGGCCCTTGGCTTGCAGGCCCCCAAATTCTGGTCTTGGGCAGTGACCCAGCTAGGTGCTCCTGAGGACGTGTGGGGAGGAGGGGGATGGGGTCAGCAGTCTGTGGCCAGCTCTGCAGAGGGACTCCTGTCCCCTCCGTGGAACCCTGCAGCCTCTCAAACAAGACCCACTTCCTTGGGCAGATGAGGCTGCTGTGTGTGTGTCTGTGGATCTGTGTCTACTTATGTGCCCACACGGGGCCCTAGAGCCCACAGACTCCTCCCAAGCCAACAGGACGTCTCCCTACTTCGTCCTCTGCAGGCTGGGAACACAGGGGCAATAGAGGCCGAGTTGCCATCGCTCTACCCTGAGCACAGAGGGGTCTGGCCCCGAGCTGTTGGGAGCCATGGAGAGCTTCACGGAGTCACTGAACAGACTGAAGGACGTCCACGAGAACGAGGTCCGGGGTGAGTGCCATGCGGGTGGGTGGGGCAGCCTGGGGGTGAGTGGGGGTGAGTGGGGGCAGGTGTCCGCAGCCCTCACCTGGGCCAGGTCAAAGTGCTCCTACAGGTCACCTCCCATTCTTGCCAGGCCTGGGGACCCTGCCTTCTAGGCCCCGACAGGGAGTCCTAACCCGGAGCCCAGAGTGGCCATGGGGGCAGGCGCCCAGCCTCGGGGCGCATCCCTGAGCACGCCCTGGAGATCTTCTCCCCCAGGGTCAGCTGACAGCACAGCAGAAATGAAGAGCCAAGCCTCCAGCAGAGGGCCCGAAGCTTTGGTGGAGATGGGCCCCTCGCCCAGGGCGGGGCAGGGGGTGCTCGGCAGCCTGCAGAAGCTCGCCCACCTCTAGGAGTGGGAGCTCATGGCTCCCCAGGCCCATCCAGAACATACCAGGGTTTTGAGCTGAATCCCTCTGCTTCCCTCCAGAACCCCAGCCCACACACCTGTCCATTCCACCCCCCTGAGCACAGGGCTGGAGCCACACCACACCCCCACTCTAGGGCCAGCCCAGGACCTTTCCACAGCACGGACACCCCGCCTGAGGGCCTAAAGGCCTGATCTCTTCCCCAGCAACCCGGACACGCAGGGGGGCTGTGTGGGCTGACCGACTGCGGTCAGACTACAAGTAGGTGGCAGAGGCACCCTCCTGCTGGGGTTTCCTCAAAGGACCTGTTTTATTTCCACACTGGCTGTGCCCCCCGCTAAAAACACGCCAGGACTTGGCCAGGTGGCTGGTCACTCCCAGCATCAGGGGCCCTCCCAACCTCCAGGCAGGCACCAGAGCCAGAGACCCCGAGGGGGTGGAAGCTGCGGACTGGGAGCCCACCATGTGGGCGGCCTCGGGGAGTCAGTGAGGGGGTCCACGGAGGGCCCTGCCTGACAGCCAGGGACAGGCGGTGCCCCGGGCTCTGCTGCGTGACCCGGCCTGACCCCCACCCCTGTCCTTGCTCCTCCAGGTCTGCAGAACAAGCTTCTGGAGCTGAACTCCGAGAGATGCCGGTGAGTCGGGACAGACCCTGGCCCAGAGCGAAACCAATGAGAAAGACAGTGGCCACAGCGCAGGGCACTAAGCCTGCCATCATCCAGGGATGCAAAAGGGGAAACAGGCTCAGCGTGGGGGGTGGGGGTGAGTCTGGTCCAAGGCCTTCCTTACCTCCAGGAGCTGGTGAGCCAGGACTGGAACCTCCAGGCCCCTGAGTGAACGGGGACCCTCCAGGGGGTGGGCAAGCCACATCCGCTTGGGGCAGTGGGGTACCAGTAGGAGCACTCCTTGGGGGCCCCTAAGGCCTGGGGGGCAGGCTCCTCACATCCCCATGTCACCTATGGGGCTGCAGTCCTGCTGCACTGAGTGGCGTGTGGACCCGGCCGGTCACCGAGGCAGCCTCGAATGCTCGCATCTGGGCCGAGGGCTTAAGCGCGGCCCTTGCAAGGATGTCCCCACGGGGAGGGGGGGACGCCCAGCAGGACCCGCGTGGGGGGGGCAGCGTGGGGCTCCGGGCAGAGCAGAACCCCCACCTGGGCTCCCCCTGCAGCGACGCCCAGAGGGTGGAGGAGCTGTGCGCCAAGAACCACCAGCTCCGGGAGCAGCAGAAGGCGCTGAAGGAGAACGTGCGGGTGCTGGAGAACAGGTGCACTGGGGCGGACGGGGAGGGGCTGCTGGGAGGGGCTGCTGGGAGGGGAGAGGGGCCACAGGGGAAGGGAGGGGCTGCAAGCGAGGGGAGGGACTGCGGGGGAGGGGGTTGCAGGGGAGGGGGGTTGCAGGGGAGGGTGGAGAGGGTGGGGAGGGGCTGCAGGGAGAGGAGGGAGAGGGGCTGCTGGGTGGGGCGGGCATCTCCACTCTCCATCCCTTCTCCCCCCCCAACCTCCCCCCCCCCCCCGTGGGGATCCTCAGAGCTGCACTTGGGAGGCTCCTTCTCAAACTCCGCAGAACCCAGAACTCAGGAGGGCTTAGCCGGCAGGGTAGGGGTGGGGGAGCTGCCCCAGCTCGGGAATGGCAGGGGCACATCTTGGCAGCGGGCCTCAGTCTCCCTCCTCAGAGCGGCCTCTCGCCCCTCCCCACGGCAGGCTGCGGGCTGGCCTCTGTGACCGCTGCATGGTCACCCAGGAGCTGGCCAGGAAGAAGCAGCAGGAGTTCGAGAACAATCTCCTCCAGAACCTGCAGCACGTCTTCATCCTCAGTGAGCCCTGCCCCCTGTCACCTTGCACCTCCGTGTCCCCCCAGTGGGAGTTCCAATGACCCCCCCACCAGGACCGGCTCAGCCTGACATGGGGTCTCAGGGAAACGGACAAGAGTACAAGGTCCCCGCTGGGCCGCGCGTGTCCCTCAGCGGTCAGCCACCTGGGCTGGGGGGGCCCTGCCCTCAGGACCTCCACCCCGCCTCCCTGTAAGGAGGACAGTCCCACAGAGTCTGGAGGTCCCACCAGCCAATGAGGAGCCCGAGCCCCCGAGCCCTAGGGGGCCGCCCCAGAGACCAGCTCGGTACTGGGGGGTGGGAGGTTCCCAAGGCTGGTGCACCCCGCTCCATAGCATCACCCATCGGGTCGTGCAGCAACCCCCAGCAAGCCCCAGGCCGAGCGCTGGGTCACAGCCGGGCAGGTCACGGGTCGCGGGTCGCAGAGGGGACTTCCTGCCCCAGCCCAGCCACCCCCACCCCCAGCCTTTCACTAATCAGTGCCTTTTGCAGCCAACGAGTTGAACCGGCTGCAGGGGGAAAATGAGACACTGAAGGAGGAGATGAAGCGGCTCCGGGGCCCACGGTGAGCAGGGAAGGGAACCTCTCGGTCCCCAAGGCCCAAGCCCCACAGGCCCCGGCACGAGGTGCAGAACCGTGGCCGTCAGCCCAGCACCATCACCGCAGCACACGCTGCCACCCTCTTGCAGTCTAACAGACGGGAGACCCAGGGGACACCCTAGGAACCAAGCTGGGGCCCCCAGCCCCGCAGCAGCTGACACCTGCCACTCCCCTGGGATCACGTATTTGAGAGAAGCCAGCCCTGTGGCATGAGCCACTGATGGTGGAGTCCCGGGCAACGTCCAGAGAGGGCTGGCTCCTTCCTGGCCACCTGAGTGTCCCCACAGGGTGGCTTGGCCCCAGGGGACTGATTGTCTCTGGGGGCGCCTCCCTTGCTCACTCTCCCTGTCTTTGCTTCCCCTCTGGGTCAGGCTCAAGCCCCAGTACAGGGAGGGCGCCTCAGACCCCTCCTCACCCCGACTGCTCCCCTCCCCGGGCCCTCGGAAGGCTGTCACGGAGAAGACGCTGGGAGGCCATGAGGAGGCCGAGGACGACCATGCAGGTGCGAGTCCCCGGAGAGAAGGTGCTCTGAGGACGAGAGACCAGAAAGCTGGGCCTGCAGGACTGTGGAGCCCCCCGGCTGGAGGCGAGCCGCCCACCCTCTGCGGGCCTCCCATTCTGCCCTGCCCACTGCTTTTCCTCCCACAGAGAAGCCTGCAGGCTACAGGACATCTCCAGTGGCCAAAATCTCCCCGAGTGCCAACCTGCCTGAGACACGGGCCCCAGACATGGTGAGGACAGACCCCCCAGGCCCACTCCTTTCTGCCCCAGGCAGGAGGCTGGCAGCTGGCACCCTGGTCTGTGCCAGGCACTGCAGGCCAGCTCCACACAGCAGGTGCCTGTGCCCTGTGCCGGGCAGGGACCGCTGGGTGGAGGCGCGGCTCAGAGAGGGTGGGTCACCTGGCCGGAGTCGCACGGGGACGAGGGCACAGGGCTGCAGCCGGCCCCGCCCAGGCTGACCCCTCCACCCGGCGCAGAGCCCCCAGCGAATCTCCAACCAGCTGCACGGGACCATCGCGGTGGTGCGGCCGGGCTCCCAGGCCTGCTCTGCCGACCGGGCCTCAACCAATGGGACACCCCCCCTGCCACTCGCCAGGAGCAGCCCCCCCAGCCCACCCTACGAGCACAGCCTCCCCCTGGACAGGTGAGGCCCTGCCCACTGCCACCACCCAGAGCAGCCCCCGCCGAGCACCTGGTCTCCAAATCCAGTCCCACCTTTTGGGAGGTGGCCAGCACAGGGGTAGGGGGGTGTGGAGCAGTGGATGGGGACTGGGTCCCAGGAGCCCCCTCGGAAGTGATCTGAGACCGCTCTCAGGATCTGAGAGCATCGTACGCAGGTGGGCCGGGCCCGGCAGAAAGATCTCCGCGGACGGGTCCCTGCTCAGAGCCCCAGGCCCGGGTCACCTCTGGCCTCTCCATGACCGTCCACGTGGGCCTACCCCTCTCCACGACCTGCCTTGTGACTGGGGCAGCTGGCCTGTGGGCCTCAGGCCCTCCCCGTGAGATGGGGACTAACCCCGGGGCCGCAGCAGTTGGGCTTCTCATCCTGCAGCTTCCTGCGGGCCTCCCGGCCCCCCGTCACGGCCTATGAGTCCCTGAAGCGCTCCCTCCAGGCTGACCGCCTCTGCCTCCTGAACCACCACCTGTCTCTGCACCTTCAGAGCCCTCACCGCAGCCCCCAAGTCCCCGCCACGGCCCCCAGTGGCCCCCGGCCCCAGGGCCTGAAGGCTGGGGAGGAAGAGGCCTGGGAGGAGCCCATGGGCCTGCTGGGGCTGCCGGGCGCCCTGGTGGACATGCGAGACCCTCGGCTAGAAGGGGCCCTGCACCTGCTCCTGGCCCAGCAGCTGCGGGCACAGGGGCGGGTGGGCAGTGCCAGGCTGAGGGGCCCGCCCACGCCAGGGGGGACCCCGCCCTCCCCACCAGTCAGCTCTGACTCGGAAGGCCCCCAGGGCGAGGCAGCCGGGGCAGCCCCGTCCAGAGGGGGGCACGTGCAGCCCGCGGGCCCAGGCAGCCCCAGGGGAAAGGAAGCCACAGCCACACGAGACTATGTCCCAGACAAGCCCCTGGACCTCTCAGAGTGGGGCCGGGGCCGGGATGCCCCCAAGCCTCCCGACCGGCCAGGGTCACTCAGCCCCCCAACTGCCCACACTCCCGGCCCGGAGACACCTCAGGGAGTGGAGCCACCTGCCCAGTCTGGACCCTGGGGACTCAGCAATGGCACCAAGGGAGCGAGAGCTCCAGAGCCAGAGGAGCCCACCACTCCCGAGGTAAGGGCCCACCCTCCTCTCGGCCCCCACATGCCGCCAGCCCAGGCCAGCATCCCGCCGGGCCCAAGCTGTGTTCTTCCCTCTGTTCCGTCGGGCTGGTCCCCCGTGGGGAAGCCTGGCCTGATTCACACTAGAGGGGAGAGGGCTAACCCTCCGGCTGCAGCCCCGGGCGCAGCGAGTCTCACTGGCCGCAGGCCCTTCCCAGTCGGGGCAGGGGGCAGGGCAGTCGCCTCAAGTGAATTCAAGCCACTTACTCGCTTCTCCCCCAGGATCCCTCCCAACCTCTTCCGGGGCCCCAGCACACCACGGCCTCTCCAAGCGGGACGGGAGCTGAGGCGAGAGGGAGGCCAAAACCTGACCCCCACCCACACAGGCCCGAAGCTGATGGCCACCCAGGTAAGGCTGAGTACCTGGGGGCTCGAGACCGTAGTGGGAAGGGGGGGGCAGGGGTCAGCATCAGCTCATGGGGGCCTGTCCTAGGGCCCAGCTCAGTCCCCTGGGCCCGTCCAGCCAAACCCTGGGTCTAGGGCTTGGACCCCAGCTGTGGACCCAGAAAAGAGATGGGGGGGGGCTCAGGGCGGGCACTTCTCTGACCACAGGTAGTGAAGGGAAGAGCATCCTCGCAATTAGGGCTTCAGGGCAAGTAGTGAGCTCCCTGTCACGGGGCGACCAAGCTGGGGACAGCCCGGCTGATGGGGTCACTGCCGAGCATACAGGAGACGTTGATGGGTCACCCAGTCCCTCTGTGCCTCAGTTTCCTTCAGTTGCCGCTCCTAGTCTGGCCTGCTGGAAAGGTCTATGCTTCTGCTAGACTCCAGGGCCCCCCACCCGGCCTGACCCACACCCTGCACCCTGCACCCTGCAGAGCTCAGCAAGGCCCAAGTGCAAGGGCTAGAGCCAGACGAGCTGGACACCTCGGACCCCTCGGACGATGAGGTGGGTCCCCCGCCACACGGCAGTGGAGCCACCGAGCCAGGGCTGCCCCAGGTTGGGGGGAAGGTCCTCGTCCTGACCACGCCCCTGACCTCGCAGGTGGGCCTGAGCTCTGAGGTGGGGGCCCAGCCGAGCCCTGCAGGGGAGGGGCCCAGGTGCTCCTGCACCACGGAGCACAGGCCCAGTCTGGCACGGAAGAGGAAGCGGCCCTCGGTGCGAAGGTAGGAGGCCGGGCTGCGGGGGGCAGGGGGTGGGGGGCAGCCGAAGCACAGGGTCCCCACCCCGCCTTGCTGGCTGCTTGGAACCGGAGACCACCCTGGAACGGCACCTGGCACAGGCCCCCTGGGGGAGGGACCCGGGTCAGGACAGCGGGAACCCGGGCTCTCTTCGGGCCACTGCATAGCCCAGCCCGTCAGTGGGGGCCTGTTCCCACCACCCCGCCCCCCGAGGTGGGCGGCACCGGGCTTTGGCGAGATTTCAGTGGGAAGAGGCTGAGGACAGTTGTTTGCAGCGTCTGGCATCAGGGCATCAGGGCAGGGGCCTCCCGGCCACAAGCAGCCCCCAGGCGGGTAGCTCGTGGGGGGGCCTCTGGGACCCTCTGTCCTCAAAGAGGAGCCGCAGGGAGGGCGCAGGCCTCTGGGTGTGCAGAGTGTGCTGAGGACAGAGCTGCTCCAGGGTTTGCGTCGGTGCCCAGACACCCTCTTGTCTCCTGCTGTGGCCGCCAGGCGCCCGTGAACACCCAGCTCGCGGGGCACCCCGCCCGGGGTGTGTGCAAGCAGGCCCGCAACAGCAGGCTGGGCTGTGGCCACCACAGTATGCCATCGTTGCCGCGAAGGTGACAGCGGCCTGTGTCTGCCAGGGCCGGCGGTGGAGGAGGCCGGCGCACCTGCCCCGTTCCGAGGCACTTCTGCGGGGCACGTTGGGAAACTGTCCTGGTGGCCACGACTCATAGGGGTGCTTGGGTATCCACCCCACCCTCCGCTCGGACCCAAGCCGTACCCGTCCCCGGTCTTCCCCGCCGGGCGAAGACAGGGGCCGCCAAGCAGGCCCCGACCCCGCAAACACGTACTGCTGGGCGGTGAGACCAGGGCGCTGCCCCAGCTTGTGGCTGGCACCCCGCGCCAAGGGCAGCGCCCAGGCAGAGGTTCAGGGTGGCCCACGGAAACCACTGCCTTTAGGCCTCACCACCCTGCCCAGTGATGGGTCGTCATGGTTTCCGAGGTGGGAAAACCAGCCCTCAGAGAAGTAAGATGACCTGCCCAAGGTCACAGAGTTGGCACGTGGGGTCAGGATTCCAGCCTGACTCGTCCAACCCAGAACTGGAGCCCGTTCTGCATCAGACACGGGCCTAGGCCCAGCATCCCGGCAGGACCTGCCTGCAAGGGTCCCGAGGACAGACAGCCCTCCCCTGTACCCAGGCCCATGGAGGCACCCAGCAGCGCCTTGGGCATCCTAAGAGCATTTCCCCAGACGGTCCTGGACCTTCAGCGAGGCACCCAGACACTGGGGCCAGATGGTCTTCGGGTCGCACACCTGCAGAGAGCCCACCCTTCCACCAGATGCCCACGCTCACCCTCCAATCAGACCAGCTCTGCCCGGGTGTCTGTTGCTTCCAGGAACAAGTCGGCTCTGCGAGGGTGGCTCAGCTCCCCTGCCCCAAATACCGTCCTGAGGCCCCGGGAAGGAGCCGGCATCGCTGTGAGACAGCGATGCCGGCCGCTGCTGTGCCCCGGCTAACCTTGGCCCACTCTCCACAGCCTCCAAGAAGCCGCCACCAGGAAGAAGGAGCCCAGCGGAGCCCCTGACAGCACACGAGGGCTCCGGGAGCCCAAGGGACCCTGAGGACAGCAGCCCCTCACCCAGCGACAGCAGCTGGGAGGAGACTTAGCAGGCTGCTTCCAGGGGCACCACAGCCTGCCCAGCCACGGCTCCCCGCCTGACCCCCAGCCCAGCAGCCCAGCAGACAGCCCAGCACAGGGCAGGAGGCGACAGGGTGCTGGCCCGTGTCCACAGGGGCTGGGAAGGCCGAGGCGGGTCTCTGGCTGGTCATTGAACCCCTCCATCTCCGCCCGTCTCAGAAATGACCATCTGGTCCTGCTGCTCCACCCTCACCCTAACACCCGTTGCCTTGGGGGAAGCAGAGTTCGGGGAGGCAGGGGGCTCGCAGGCTCCAGCCCAGCCCCCACCCCTACCGCACATAGGCAACCCTTCCTGGGCAGCGCCCCCGCCTCTCACCATCCCAGACTCCACTGGCACCCCGACTCCCGGGCCCCTGCTGCCCGGCCACCCCTTCCCTGCTGGAGCGCAGAGCGTGAGTGGTGGTCTCAGGCGCCCCCTCGTGGAGTCCTGCAAACACGCTGGGCCGTGAGGGTGTCGGGCACCCCAGCAGAGAGCGTACCCAGGAACAAAGGTGTCAAAGACGGCCTGTGCGTCTGGCAGAGTCAGGGGTCACCTGGGTCTCCACCTGCCTCCACAGGTGGTTCGAGAGGCTGTGGAATGCACCCAGGCCTGAACAAAACCAGCCCCGTTTGCTGAGGGGTACAGCGACCAGGGCAGCCTGTGGGGAGGGCTGCAGGGAACAGAACAGGCACAGAGCCCCCTCCTCACTGGCTACTCTTGAGGTCCAGGCCCCACGTCTGCCACTGACCGCTCAGCCACCTGCAGGGCCAGGGGCGGCTCGGCCAGGATTGCACCCTTTGCGCTCAGGGATACCCTGCTCCCTTGACCATTGTCACTTTAGGAGGGTATGTCTCGGAGCACTTCTGTAGAGAACCTTACCCAGGTTCCCGAGCCCCATCCCAGACCCCCTGAATCAGGGCCTTGGCGGCAGGCCTGTGCATGAAGTTTGGGAAATCGAGAACTGCCCGTTGCAAGGCAAAGGCAGGATGGTGGGCAATGACTGCACTGGGCGAGGCCTGGGGCAAACTGGGGGTGCAGACCTGACAACGAGAGCCCCACGTCCCCCTGCTCGCTGCGGCCAGCCTGCCTGCTGGCGCAAAGGCCAGAGGGACTAAGTTTCCAAGAGGGAATGTGCAGGAGTGTATGTGCACGTTTGTGTGTGAGAGCGTGAAACCTCCTGTTGAAAAAAAGTTGCTTTGTTTTTTCTGAAATTGAATAAAAAGCTGTGTGCTCCATTCACATGTGACTTGCAGGCTTGGGTTGGCTCAGGTGTACCCCAGGTGGTGGAGAAGCCACATGGGGTGGGAGCCCAGGGAGAGGGCACAACAGACCCGGCAAGAAGACCACGTTCCTCCCGGGGTCCCTCCGACGCCCTCAAAACTTCACTCAGTGCCATCTGGCAAAGGAGACACGGCCCAGGGCTCAGCTCTGCCACCTGCTGCAGACACGCACAGGTGTGGAGCTGAGAAGCCACAGATAACACGCGCCCATCACTCTGTCCCTCCACGGTCCCCTTCCTCTCTTCTTCATTCGACATCAGCTTAACTGTGAGCTACCAGTTTGTCAGCTGCCCACCTGCCAGGGTCCCCCACTAGCACCAGCTGGCCAGCACTGAGGGCCCACTCTGTGCCAGGCTGGGCGCAGACCTTTACAGCCCTGGTCCCGCTCCTCCCTTACAGGAGCCCCATGAGGCACACAGTTAGCACCCCCACTTGACAGACAGAGAAGCTGAAGCTCTGGGAGCGTAAGTGACTCACCCCAGGTCACCCGGCTGGCCGGTGGCAGAGGAGGCTCTTAGCCACCCCATTCCCCGGGCATCGGCAGGCAGCAGCGGCACAGGGCACCACCTGTGGGCAAAGGGACTCCCCACCGCGGGCCTTCAGAGAGCAGTTCTCCTGCCCCTGAGCACCTGGTGGCACGTGTTCACTCCCCATCAGCACTTGGTCAAGCCCCTCCACCAGGCGTGGGAGAGGCTTTGAAGACCAACTTGGAAGGGCAGAGGGAAGAGGAATGAGGACAGGCTGGACACTGGGTGAGCCTACCCGTGGTGGCAAATGATCAGTAGGAGGGGACACGGCCACTTTTGGGGGGGTCTGAAAAGGCAGTGGGTCATGCAGGATGGACAGGAAACTGTCTCAGGGGGTCTGTCCCGCCCCCACCCTCTCCACTGACCACTGACCACTGCCCGCTGGGTAAGCTGCCCACAGAGGCACGCTCTGAGCTGTGGCGACCAACCCACCGGCAAGTGCCCAGCCCTGCAGCCGCACAGCTGACCCAGTGCTGGGGGGGCCCTTGATCCTCACAACACCCTGAAGTCACTGTCCCAGGCAGAAAGCTGGACAGAGCAGAAGGGTGGCGTAGAGGTGGGGCAGGACCCTGTCCCCGCAGACACCGGTGGGCTCCTGGGGGCTCCAGGAGGCAGTACCTGAGCATGGAGGCACCTGCTCTGAAGTCAGGGCCACCTGCGTACAGAAGAGGAAAATGAGGCCTAGGCACCTGGAGGGCTCAGGGTCACCCTGCTGCCGTGGGAGTGCAAGACCCCCACGGGTTGAAGGCCCTGCGCTGCCCCCACCCCCCCACCCCCGCCCCCACCCCAGTCTGCCATTCCTGGCAGGTGTCTTCTTCGATTGGGAAGGGAAGCCGAGTGGCACCGCCCGCCCTTCCGGGGAGCTTTGGGGCTCCTGGGGGGAAGGCCCTTCGCAAGCTGAATGCCCCCCCCCCGCGGGAAGGGGGCAAGGCTTCAGCTCCCCGCACCCCCCCACCCCAGGTCGAGCACGGACGCGCACCCCACGGGAGACGTGCGCTGGAGCCTAAAGGCTCCGGCTAGACGGAGGCTGAACTTGAACGCCGCCGCCCCGCGGCCGCCGTTTCCCAGGCGGGGACTCGAACCCGGGGCGGCGCCGCCGCTCGGCCCGGGCCAGGCCCCGCGGGGCCGTCTGCGTGCTCTCCCGCTCCCTCGGGCCCCCGCGGCGCCGCCTCTAGGACCCGGGGGAGCCGCCCAGGAGCCCTCCCCCTCCCCGCGGCCCGCCCCCGCCCCCGCGCCGACCAATGGGCGGGCGGGACGGCGGGGTATTTGCATGCGGGCGCGCCTCGGCCAATGGGCGGCGGGCGCGGGCGCATGCGCGCAGGCGGGGCGGCGGCGGCGGGCGGCCGGCGGGCTCAGTCGGAGGATGGCCGCGGCCGCGGCGGGTGGAGCCCCGGGCCCGACCCCCGGCCCCGCCAGGGCCCCGCCGCCCGCCGGCCCCGGCCCCGCCGCCCGGGCCCCGCCGCAGGCGCTCCGGAGGCGCGGGGACTCGCGGCGCCGCCAGGCCGCGCTCTTCTTCCTCAACAACATCTCCCTGGACGGTCGGCCCCCGAGCCTGGGCCCGGGCGGGGAGAAGCCGCCGCCGCCGCCGCCGCCGCCGCCGCCGCCGCCGCCGCCCGCCGAGGCCCGCGAGCCGCCCGGGCCGCCGCCGCCGCCGCCGCCGGGACCCCCGGGGCCCCCGGGACCCGAGCCGCCCGCCCGCGGGGCCCCCCCGCCGCCGCCGCCGCCCGCGCCCCCCGCCGGCCTCCCCGCCACCAGGGCGTCGGCGCCCCAGGGCCTGCTCAGCCCCGCGCCCGGCCCCGGCCTGGGCCTCCCGCTGGACGGGCAGCGCCAGAGGTGAGCGGGGCGGGGTCAGCGCCGGGGGAGCGCGGGTCAGCGCCGGGGGGGGGGGGGAGCGGGGTCAGCGCCCGGGGGGACCCGGGTCAGCGCCGGGGGGAGCGGGGCGGGGGGGGGCGGGGTCAGCGCCGGGGGGGGGGGGAGCGGGGTCAGCGCCGGGGGGGACCCGGGTCAGCGCCGGGGGGAGCGGGGTCAGCGCCCCGGAGGAGGCGCGGGGCGGGGCCTCGGCGCGGGACCTGGGGCGCAGGGGCCCCCTGTGACCCCGTGACCCCGACAGGCCCGCACAGGCCTCGGGGTGGGAAGGTGACCCTGGGCCGCGGGAGTCCAGGACGCGGGGTCCACCGGTCTCAGGCCGCCCTGACCGCGCCAGCCCCTGTCAACCTTGGCAACCCCCGAGCCTGGCCGTTGGGGTTCGCTCAGCCCTTATCAGCGCCCCCAGACGCTCCCGGCTGCTCCGGACACGCCCCTCCCCCTGGGCTGTGCTCTCAGGCCCCCGGGGTGCCCCGGCCTCCCCCGCGCTGTCACAGAGGCTCCTGCGCCAGGCCACAGCCCCCCACCTCCGTGCCCCCACGGTCCCCTCTGAGCTCAGGGTCCCATCCCCGCTCGCACTTGCTCTCCCTGCCCTGACTCCATTTCCAGGGAGCCCCAGAACAGCCACCCCCTGCAAGCCCTGCTCCTCCCGTCTGCCTGACACCCCACTCTGTTCCCCCGGAGCTGCAGCTCTGGGTGCCCCTGCCTCGGCCCCTGAGGCTGGGGTGACCCCAAGCCCTCCCACCTTCACCCTGAGGGGTGATTTGGGGCCCGGGCCTCCATCCTTTGGGAAGGCCACTGCTTAGCGACTGTCTGCAGGGCAGGCCCTCCGGAGGCTGGCCCCGCGGGTGTGCAGGGAGGCACCCAGAGCAGCGCCCTCGGGCTCCCTGCCCTGCGCAGGTGGGAGGCCCGGAGACCCGGAGACCGCCGCCAGGCCCTGGGCTCAGGGTTGGCCCTTCCCACCTGAGGCCATCACGGCTGTAGTAGCCGCAGCTGCCGCTCACCCCGGCCCTCGATGGGTTGAGCCAGAATTCAGGCTTGGTTGTCCGAGTTCTGGTGTGTGGCCCCCGGAGAAGAGCTTACCGAGGGCGCCGTCACACCGTAGACGGGAGGACTTCAGCTGTACGGAGACGCGGCTGCCTCCTGGGCGGCCCGGGCGGACCTGACCCTCGCCACCAACAGGCCTGGCCAAGGCCCCAGAGACGGCACGGGGCTGAGTGGTGCCAAGGGGTCATTCGGCCCCGGACGTGGCCGCTCGGCACCACGCTCCTGCCATCCCTGGGGACGTGGGGCTGCTCACTGCGCAGAGGCTGAGTGTAAGGAAGAGCTGTTTCACTGGTGGAAATCGGTCCATTTTATACCAGAGCCCTGAAGCCTACTCGTCTTCCTCCTTGAAGCTATAGAGTCAGCCCTGAGGACGGTCCCAGGTCACCCCGGGTCTCTGGAGTCCCTCTGTGGTGCACCAGAGCCGAGTGGCAAAGCCCCTGTGTTGTGTGATGAGTCGCGGAGCTTCAGGGGAGAGGTGGTGCGCCTGCCGCCAGGCCTGAGGACAGTGTGCGTCTGTCTCCACCCACCGTCGGACGCCGGGCCGCCCCCTTTCGGGGTGCGTGTGCGCTCTGGACAGATTGCACGTCGTCTTAGGTTCTCTGGTCAGCAGATGGCGGCCCTGCTGCGGGCCAAACCCTGCAAAGTGGGCTAGGCAGCAGCCCGCCCCCCCCCGACCACGCTCCAGGGAAGGGCTCGGGGCGCGGACGTTGGATGCAGCGCCTGTAACCAGGAGTGCTACGAGGCCGCAGTGGCTGGTGGTGCCCCTGCACTGCCCGTTCCCAGCAGGAAGCTGGCACAGGATGGGATGTGGCGTGAGTGCCGGGGTGCCCGTTGGTCTTCCTGCTGCACCCACGCCCGTCCCCATGTCCCTCCAGCCATGGCCTGAGCCCCTGCTCTGAACCCTCTCCCGCCTCTCCCTCCTTCCTGCCTCGGCCACACCATCTCTGCCCACAGGGAAGTCACCGCAGAGCGTGGGAGGCACGTCTGGCCGAGCCAAGGGGGCCCCCAGCTGCAGGCCCGGTCTGAGGGTCAGTTGTGTTTCAGGCGTGGAGGAGACTAAGGGCCTCCTGAGGTCTGTACCGTGTGTGGTTGTTTGACCCAGGCTCTGCGGACAGATGGCTGTCATCCTAGGTCGACTGTCAGGGGCTCTGTGACCTTGGGCGGGAACCTCACTGAGCCTCAGTTTACTCCTCTGTGAAGTGCTTTTGCCTTACCTACCATCCACCTGAGGGGCTGTGTGAGGTCGGGTGAGGTCAAGGGCTGGGGGGGCGGGGCGTGGCGGGAGCCAGGTGAGCAGACGCTCTTCAGGAGCAGGTTACCCAGTGAGTGCTCTCGCTCAGGCCACACCGGGAAGTTGCATTTCATACCCAGGGTTCAGCCCGGTGTGGCCTCTGCTGAGCCAGGGAGCGAGTCATTGGAGTCCATCCTTCCCTCCTCAAACCTCTAATGGGCTGTTTCATTTCAACACTGCGGTCACTCAAGGCCAGCAGGCGGGCTTCTGGGCTCCTCCAGCAGGAA